GCGTAACTAGACATTGAGAGCGACATTTCAATAACTGATTGGCAACCTCGGACAGATACTAATATACGAAAGCTTAGGAAAAAACCGAATGTGGGTAGAGAGGAGGTGAGAGACAGATCATCATCATCAAGCGTCAAATTAGTTCACCGAGAAAAAGTTCTCACGCCAGAAATTGTTCGTTAAATCTATATACTGATTGTGGATGCTCGGAGCATGTGATTGTCTAATGGAGGTAGGTTTGTAGATTTCTTAATTCATCTGGTACATGGCATTTTACATGTATGAGAATATGCTTTTACGAAAGGTAACAACTTGATGCACCGACTCGTTTCAAAGAAGTTTTTGCAACGTTTCAAATTTTACACCGTAGATTCTCAGATCCATAACATACACTTAAAGACTATCGACAAATCGGGTCAGTTTGGCTCGCCGCCCGCCACGTCAAATAGTCTTCTGGAACTCGCACACTCTGTAGATGAAAAAAGACTAAAGAAAACGCCAAGAGTAACAGCTATGTTGAGAAAAGGCTCCACCACCAAACTTGCTTAAGAAAATATTTTTCAGCATAAATGCAGTCGGTTAAGTAACCTAAACGCCAAACTCTTGTTTCTTCAAAAATTACTAAAATATGCGTGCACCACATATAAATAAATTTTACTCCATTGCTGCCTCATTTGGTATCTAGTTTTCCCCCAAGTACTTATCGCATTCAATATTCTTCTAACATCTTAATAAAACTCGTTAGAGCTCGTCTGCTGTTGCAATCACTTCAGCCAACGATGCGTAAGATCTTCTGCAGACATCTAGCGGCGGCAGATATGTACATACGTACGTAGATAACCGTTAAATAAGTGAGTTTCAAGTAAGTGCTTATTCGTAACTACTTGTCTGACCAATCGATTGCTGTGAGTGCGAATGCGAGTGAACTCAATACGCCTTAATCAAATCATGCGGGCACTCGTTCATTGCCGCTATTGTTGTTGCTGTTGTACAACAAATAAAGTATGAAGAGTATTACAATATTATTCCAGTGCATTTAATAAAGTGTTTACGAGGTCGTGCATACATATATGCATACATACGTGTGCATTTTCTCTTTATGCCGAATTTGCAGACCATCGAAAAAATGAATAGAATAGAATAATCAAATAAATAAAAAGGGAAAAAGGAAAAAAAATGGAATGAGTAGCAGTGTGTTGCTGCTGCAAACGGCAGACGACACAAAGTAAACGACAATAGCCGAGAAAATTGCTTTCTTCCCAACGCAGCGCGATAGGCAATGCGTGCGCTGTTCATGTGCTGCAAGCACGAGTGCCTTGTGCAACACGAGTTCGGTCGTCAGACAACGGCGAGTGAATGCATGTCAAGCGCAAAAAATATACGGGAAAAAATATGTGCAGAATTGACAAGGACATATGTGTGCGTGTGTGTGTGTGAGGTGGCTCACACGTAAGACTCGCAAGGATATGTGGCAACTAAATCGGCAGGGTATTGAGCTGAGGTTTCATCGAGAGCGTGGGTTAGCCGACTCAATGGCTGCATCACTATATTGTCGGTCCATAATCGAAGAGCCACATACTTTCATCTTATTTTATTTAATTTTTTTTTTTTCGTATGTACCGCTAGGAGCTGCCTTGTGCTGCTCATATCTTCCTTGCCACTCACCGCACTTGCAACAAAACATTTTCATTTTAACATTATAAAAGTTTTCCGTTTTTCTATTTGTCTTTGTAACTTAAATTTCGACTGCTCAAAAGGCGAAAATAAAGAACTGCAAAGGCAGCCTAGCCTGGCGGGGAGTGTACGTGTGTGTGGGGGTGTGTATGTAATGTTGGCATTATTTGATGATGCTTTTCGCGATTTTTTCGCACTTGAGTGGATGATTTTTATTAGTTGAATTCCTTTGGTTTTACTTTAACTCAGCAAACAAATAGTCAGGAAGAAGATGAAGAAGAAAGAAAGACGAGATGAAGAAACAAAAATTGGAAAAGAGGCGGTTTACATGGATGAATATGACGAAAATGTAGACAAAGTTTTCTTGTTGCTTGCCTGTTTGTGTTGCAAGCTGTCGGCGCAGCCTCAATGGTTGCTCTTATACATACTCGTATCCATATATGTACATCTATAAAGTACATATATGGATACGAGTATGTATAAGAGCAACCATTGAGGCTGCGCCGACAGCTTTTTTTTATTTATATAATATATATATGTTTGTACAAAGATTTCAGCACTCAGGACGCTGCCTGCGGTTGCGGCGTCTGTTTGATTTTGCCCGCCAGATTGCTTCTGCCCCGAACCTCAGCGCCCTCTGCAGCTGCAATTTCCTAACTGTATCCTTACTTTGTATGCATGCGCGTATGTATGTATGTATTTTGTTTGTCGTTTCGTCGTTAAACAAACAATGAATTCGCTCAAGTGCTACTTTTTCCTCCATTCCCTACTTCTGGTTTTTGCTTTTTTTTACATCGAAATAGTTTTCCAGCATTTTGCTAACGTTGCAATTTTGAAGTTTCCTTAAAGTATCTACTACCAACGTTATTTGTTGAGCGAGCGGGAGCGTCTTCTACATCCTTGCAGTGCTTTTTGTTGCTATTGTTGTTGGTTATAAGATGGCTGGCTGACTGCCACTTTTGTTTGTTTGAACTTTGTTTGTCTATATTTGTTTTTGCTCATTTTTACCGCTAAGTATTTATTGCCTAATTTAGTCGATGTTTCCTTAGCACAGCAGTAGAAAGTATGCACTGCTTTGACTTATTGCTTATGTACTAAGTAACCAAGCGCTTTTGAAAATAAGTATTTTCATGTACATAATGTGTGGTTCTGGTACACCAGATCAAATCAATATCAAACTTATTTGCCAAATATGCTTTAAAGTGAAAATGTATTTACATTGAATTATTTTTCAAATCAAAGAAAATTAATGGCATGACATAAAGTTTTATGGCAAACCATAAATGGAAAATGCACATTAAATTCAATGTAAAATGAAAATTTAAAATTATTAAATGCAAAATTGTAAGCATTTCCCCAGTTAAAATTTTTCAATCGCTTGCCATAAAATGTTATGTCAAAGCAAAAATTTGCTAATATCCAACGAAAAACATATCATATGCGGTAAAAATAAAATTGGAAAAAAATATATATATAAATATATTTTATAAAATATTTTAAAAGTCTGATATAGACTAATGAACTAATGAACTAATGAACTGCGTACTATATACATTATATATTTAAATTTTCATTATTACATGACAGTCGATTGCATACCATTATTACAAGAATATTTCATGGCTCTTCCATATGGCTTAAGCGTTATGTCGTACCTTGTAGGAATTAACAATTATTACAGTTCTACATTACATTTTTCATAATCTTATGTCATGCCATAATTTTTGTTATAACAAAAAAAATTATTTTCCAACTATTTTCTTTAAACAGAAATTTAATTAATTATAAGCTTTTATGTAGGTACAATGGGTGTGTATATGGAAGAAGTGTTTTTGAGTAAAAAAAAGAAATAAAAACAAAATGTAAACGGTAAAACCATTGAGAACCTCACTAATGTAAAAGCACTTAGCCTTAAATAAATCCTAAGGTAAAAGCGCTAAAAGCTTAGTATGAGCTTACTACCTAACCTTTTACCTTACAAAAAATTTTAATAAGTTTTAATTAAAAAAAATAACAATAAAATCTTTAAAAAAAATTATTTCTAGTGCCACAAGCCCCTGAGTGACTGCACTCTTTCCTACTGCCTGACATCCTTTGTCTTAGTGCTTCATGATTGCTCAAAAAGTTAATCTCACTCACACCACATTTTGACAAGCATAACTGTTTCACTTAACTGCTTCACTTAACTGTCTGTCTCTCCGTCTGTCTGTCTGTCTTCAAGTATCACTTTATCAGGTTATTAAAAGAGCATACATACGAGCGTACTCGACTTGAGGTACGTGGCCTGAGGTGTGCGTTGAGGTGGCATGCCAATAAAATTCGCTTAACAATTTCTTTTTCACCCACACCAACACATTCACTATATTTCTGCTGTGGTAATATGTGTGTTTGGCCGTGAAAGGGTTAACATCACCGCATATATGTATTCTTTGTGTTGGCAAGGATACAGTGTTTATGCCGTTTATATACGCATTTTCTTGTTTTAAATGTTTCAATTTAATTTTGCACGTTCGAATTAATTTCCCAAACCGTTCGCCCCGTCTCCGGTAAGTTGCTTCGTTCTAGCCAGAGCTACCCTTTGGCTGCTTGGCATTTACCAAAAGGCAAATTTAATTAATTTTTAGCTTGATTGCATTTAAAACGCTACGCAACATATAATCACATGTGCGTATGTATGTAGGTTCATATATATGTTAGTAATATGTGTCCCCCCTCACTATTTCCTTAAGTTGGCTGGCTGCGTGGTTATTTTGTATTTAGTGGCCTTTCTGGTAAGTAAGCCACTAACTCGACGCTTTGGGAATTTATAGTTATTGCGGCTTGCTTTGTTGTTGTCTTGAGAATTCATGTATTGTATTGCTGTATTGCGCATATAAATATTTTTGGTCCAACCCAACCATTCTCTCCCCTCCCCTTACATTTTTGCTACTTTAAATTTCCTCATTTGGTTTGTTGCCTACACGAGCATCATGCATTATCCTTTTTATGGTATGCCATTTCGTATTTTCTATCTATTTGGTTACCTCTAAAATATTTACACTCTTCTCTTTAATAATAACTGCACTTTCTCTTTCAGCTTTGCCAAATATCTGCAGCAACCGCTCGGATGCTCTTTATAATTTTGTTTTTGTTCTTCATTTTTTTGCTCTACTCGCTCGAGTGCTCAATTCAAGCGTTTTAAGTGGCTTTTTAATTAATTTTCTGTTTTCAACTTCAGATTTTATTAGTTTTAATAAATTTTTACGAATTTGCTTAAATTAGTAAACCACGAGTGCGCAGGAAGACACCCGCCAAGTGTGGGAGTGATGAGGTAATTGTGTGCCTACCTTTAGTATGCCGCTCCAAATTGGGATCCTTAATGCCTGGAAGGGGAAAAAATGAGTTTTATTGCGCTGGTATATTTAGTTGCATATATATGTATGTACAACAAGTTAACAACCAATTTTATATGAATTTAATTATACTTAGAAAGTGGGGTATCCATCCCTAGGGAAAGAATAAGCCAAATCTGATTTTGATTCGGAAAATAATTTGGGGATTTCATGGAAATTGCTTTCTAATTTTATGATTGCTCGAAAATTGTTATTTTAACCATAGTTTTACAGAGTTACCACCAATTAAAAATTATTATAATTATTTTTAAAATTTTTTGAAATAAAGAATCTCACACGAAAATGGTAAATTGTAATTGTGATTAAGGATGAAAATTAATTTAAACTATTTATTTTTTGAACTTCAAATGCAGTATACTATTTTATATTATATCTAGTATCAGGGTTGCCAATTTTTTGATAGTTGAAGTTTTATATTTTCAAAAATAAATTTTTATTATAGCAAAAGTTCCATTTTTGAGGGAAATTGTATGACTGAGTACAGAGAAAAATTAGCATCTTATTAATGAATTTCAGTCTCCCCAGAAACGACCTTGATAGAGATAGTTAATCGACTCATTCGGGTCTTCCTTCTAAAGCTTCAATAGCCTCCTCGGTGCGCACTATTTATCTATTTCCATTATATAAAACCAACGTGGAATTACCGACTCTGCTGAGCAATTATGTCGATCGAATATTGAACCCTTAAAAAAATCAAACCAGCAGAGCAAAGTTAGTTGGTTAGGCAAGTTGATCCCTTGTAATACTTCTACTTGTGAAAATGGTATATCTAAACTATATAGACGGGGAGAGCATTCAGTCTATTTTATAAATCCAACCGGATTACCTGACACTTGCTGCAACTAGCTCTGTTAGTTCATAGGAGATAAATTTCTAAGAAAGCGATGAAAGCTTCCAGAGGTAGTAATCTTATCCTTATGTCAATGCGGGTAAAAATTATCGTTAGAGAAGCAGCCCATCCTTCTGCTGCGAGTACTCACCTCAAAAACCCTCGAAAAACAAATTTTTCTAGAAGTGGCATGACCTAATATGTATTTAGGTTGTAACACCTCAAAAATTTATCTTGCTGGAACTGTTTTGAAACCAAATACGGAATCAACCCGTCAAAGACCTTCGACAAATTTTAGTCCTGTTTCTGGTTACCAAATCGTGTCTGGCTGTGTTATTACGTCTGTTAAGGTGGTCTGATTTGTTCTTTTGTTTTGCCGATACGCTCTTAGTCCTATTAACCGATATTGCGGTTATTTTCGGATCAAAGACGCAAATCAAAGCCAGATTTCCTATTTGTTGATTTCTGAACAAAAATCTCTAGGTATTTTACAAAAGAAGGGATCTGGTGAAGTAAATTCCATTAAAACATACATAAAAAATAAAAATTTTCTGGGTAATAATTTTAAATAGTTTTTTGGAAGTTGAATGCTTCTTATATTTTTAACTTCTTTAAAGAAACAGATATAATATTTTTTGGCTTAAAATATTTTTTGGATTCCAATTTGTAATCCCTAATTTTTACTGTTCCTTAACTCAATTGCCATTTGAGACGACAAGAATTTGGCTACATAAAATTCAAAACACCAAAATTTGGTCTAAATCGCATTTGTATTGCTTACCGCAGGAGGCAGATATTTGCCTCTCAAAAACATAACCGAGAAAAGTGCTTAATTTATACAAAACTGCTCATAAAATTTGCCATAAAATTATGATTAGCACTTCAACCGAACTTAAATCACCATCTCGTTGGAACATTTTTGGGCTCGATACGCATTTAGATGTGTATGAAGTGTCTAATGGCAGAAGCCGCACTCAAGCTAAAAAAGAAAGAAATTCATTGAGACAATTTATGAACCTTTTGGTAGTAAGTGGAATTTAACAACAAACATAACTCATACCATGGAATGTTGCGTACATATATATGTGAATACATACGTATATATAGCTGCAGGTATATATGTAAGTTGACGGTGGTACACACAAATGTCTCTGCCCGCAAACATAATTTGCATTTTATTATCGCCTTAAAGTGGATTTTATATATTTTCGGATGTGTAAATACACTCGCTTGCAAGTATGTAGCAGCGTAAACAGCCATAACTACTTAAATGAACCTCCGAAATCTCCAGTCATAAAGCAGTTAAGGACCATACCTACCTACATACAAGCCAATGCTTTCATTAAATTCTGCTAAATAAACTAAAATATTAAACTCGCTCTTTAGGGGAGCAGATTCCTCATCTCATAAGTTTTTTAGCCAAAAGTTATGTATTTATTTCAATGATTTAAGAGCAAATGTCATAATTTATTATGTTACTAAAATGTACTTAAGAGCCTTGTGGTGGAGCGGGAGAGCGAGAGGGGCGCGAGATTGGGTAAGGCAAGGTAAGGTTGTAATTATAAAGGATTTCAAATAGGGAACGATAACGCAAGAAAAATTGTTGACAATAAAGTTGCTGATGTTGAAGGGATTTTAATTTTTAAATTTTGAATTTGAAAGTCATGCAGCAGGCAGACCCCGCTTGTCAGCATGCCTCTGCTCGTATGCTCAATCGCTCCCACAATTTTTAAGATCTCACATATGCAGATCTCATTTCATTATACCCTCAAAGAGATATATTCCCATCCAGAAGAGATAACGTAGTTCGAACTTGGCGGAAGACTGGATTCACATTGTTCATTGCTCATGGAAAGTGTTTTCGCATCGACAGATCTAGTAATGCCATAGACCTGAACAGAGTTGAGAAAGCTCTTGATTTCTTCTCCGCAAATGACGTGTTCAGCATTAGATCTCAGTTAATCTCTCTTCGGTGGTGCCGGAAGCTTCGAGATGTGAAATATAAGCAATAGAACGGAGCTGAAAGTGAAACATTGATTAAAAAGCTCTTCCGCTGAATATACTCTATTATTTGATGTTCCAGTTATTTAATCCCTGTAATAATAAATAGTCCCCAATGTCTAATATAAGCATCACATGAATAAATATGTAAAAACTTTGGAAGGCTTATGAGGTTCCCGACTTAAAAGGCAAGTATACGGACACTGGACTCCCATTGGCGTCAGCATGCTCATTTTGTCAAAACCAACAGCTTTGTAGACTTTCTTCTGGTCTTCTTCATAACTTTTCCATTACGCTTGCCCGGGGAAATCAAGCGCCACGGTGGTGTTTTTGTAGTTTGTTGTACTCTCACGTCACGTCTTCAGATCCAGAAAGACATGATAACTAAATGTAATTTCCACCCGGTTTTCGTGTTTAGTCTTCTAAGACGAAGATTTGAAAACTACCAAAAGTTTGCTCACTTTTTTCGGTGTCCTTTTCGTTAACAGAAAAAACCTATTCTTCGTCGTTCCAAGATTACACTATATGTCAATTGGTTCTTCAACAACATTACGTAGAGAGAGTGAGAAGCCATAACGTAGTGAAGAACTGAGAGTCCAAACTGAAAAATAAACGCTTGTTAGGCCGTCGACAGACGACAAAGAGGCGAGAGTATTGATTCTCTACAATAAAATGACGATCTTGATCAGCGGAGTATAAACACCTCTGAAACACCAGAGACTCTCTTACGTTCAGCACAGAAAAATCGATTCGGATTTGTGTTCGATCGATTTGGAGACATCCTTACTTGAGCTTAGTTAGGGAAACCCACAGCACAAGAATACTTTTTCCCACAATTTCCGCCGGAATTTCTATAATTTACAGTTACTTGCTTAATAAAGCCGCATTAAATTAAGAGAAAATATTTTTTTGAAAAAGTTTTATGTGAGAACAACAATAAAAGCCAACAAACCCGTTCCGCCGCACCCGATTTAACGCAACGTGACTGCGGCAGGACAACTTTTCGAACGGAAACATGAGCCCGAAACAGCTTGAACGGAAAGGCGTAGCATTCCTTCAAAGTCCTTTTTGTTTTCGCCAAAACCACACACATGCACTCGCTGTACAAGTGTGCGTGTAGCTGTGACAGCCAGCGACAGGAACAACTTCATTAGCAACATGCCAATATTTAGCAACACTGGCTAATTTGCATTTTAATTTTTGTGACAACAATTGCTGCCACCAAACACACACACACCAGCACTCACTGCCTGCCGCCTAAGCCAACCTTGCACATTCATCACTTTATCCTTTCTTTCTTTTTTCTGAGGGATTTCTAGCGTTTTCAGCTTCACTGCACGACAGAGCACGGCAACCCTGACTTTTTACGCGCTGCTAAGTTTTGCCACTTTTTTCTCGCTTTTTGTTTTCAAAAGTATTTTTGTTGCTCCTGTTGCTGTTGTTATTGTTGTTATTGTTGTTTGTAAATAAAATTTGCGCGTCTATATTTTATGCACTCATGCCGCGATAACACGCAGTCAGCAGTCGGCAGCGGGTTGTCGCTGGCAGCAGGAAGCAGGGCCGGGGGCAGCGATTGCGGCTGCGGCAGTGTTGCCAATCTGCTTTGTTGCTCAGTCTGCTGATGCCTCAGTACTTTTTATTTTGTTTTCATCAATGTTGTTGTAGTTTATGTGTTTATTGTTATCTGTTGTTGTTGTTGTTGTTGTTGTTATTGTTGTTGTTGTTGTTTTTCGTTTTTCATTACTAAAAATGTCATTGCTTTGCTCGCCAGCCTCTGCTGTTGTTATAGTTGTTGTTGTTGTTGCTTTGTTGAAAACTTCGTTAACGAATTAAAATTGAATGGAATAATTTTCGTCGCTCCAAACTGAATAAGTGTTGCCGTTAGGTAGCAATTTATGCGCTGTCGCTTTAACTGTGACAATGCGGCTGAAGATGAATTGTCGTCGACGTCAAAGTAGAATGTCCTCGGAGGCGTAAGCGATTTTATTTGCTGAATTTTTAAAGCGAGATTAAAGATTCAGGATGCAGCCAAGAATTTTACTAAATTTTCATCAAAAGCTCATACTAAGCCCTTAGTTCCCCATCCTGACGTGGGAATGGAAAGAGAGCTCAACTAAATGGCTTTTCGACAGCTAAACAT